CCAAACTGAATTCGAACAGGCTTTGGAACAAGATGAGGCATGCAACTTACTTAACAAGTAGTCTACCACTCTATACTGACAAACTTGGACGTCATCAGTTGTTCCTGCAAATCCGTTTACCAACATTTCGACACGTTTGATATCTGAACGTTCGTATAACTTGAGCTATGTATGACCTTCCCTACATCCCCGGTGGGTGTATAATCTTTCCATCAGAGTTCCTATCATTGATTCTATTATATTTTCTTAGACAATATTGACAGTTTCGAGGATAAATCATCCCATCTAAAGCATCCTAAGCCATAGAAATTGCTTGAATAGTGTCTAAACGATTTGTGTAGATTTTTCAAAGTCCAAAAAAATCAATACTTCTTAATTAATCCCTCTAAAACATATACACAGTCCACAAAATAACCTCCTTACTAACTCATCTTCTTAGCATGTCAATATATTGTTAGAGTAATACAGTTGATCAGATAAGCTCTATTACAACCATGAAGTAACATAATATGTAGTATAGTAAATTAGTGGTCGACAGACATTTGGCACCACTAGACTTTATAATTACTATTATTATTATTACTATTACAAAAATAGACTAGAAGAAATTTTTTTTTGTCTTTGGATAATCTCCTCCCACATAGTGGTGCTGTCCTTCAGATAATGTTTCATAGGTTATTAGGAAAAGAAACAATATTAAAGCAAAGTGAATAAATAACTGGTTTTACTTGACTGATTGACATAATATTTAAAAACTTCAGATCTCATCAATTATAAAACACAAAATAATCGAGCAAAGAATATTCTTTTCGATAAATTCCTCTTCTAGGCTCTACAATTATATATACGTTTATATACACAGAATATTTTAAAATAGTAGTTAATAACAATATTCTAAATATTGCTGAGGCTGTGAGGATCCATATTAATAAGCCTAATTTATGCACCCAAAAGAAGTTAGTTCAGTCATTATCATTACCTTGGCCATCCAGGTTTGAATAATCCGGAAATTTTGTGAAATTTCCCTAATTTTAGTTGATATTCTATTCGCTGTTATATCTTTATTATTATCATTATAATTTAAGCATCTTTAATGAACTGCAATAGCATTGATCATAATTTACAAATCGATATTATTTAAAAAAAACGCTAATATTGTTATTAACTACTATTTTAAAATATTCTGTGTATATATAATTGTAGAGCCTAGAAGAGGAATTTATCGAAAAGAATATTCTTTGCTCGATTATTTTGTGTTTTATAGATGTCTGAATGAATATTTTTGCAATATCTCATCAATTAGATTCAAGAGCAATTAAGAAATAACCTACTTTTGACAATCCTCGTAGAATTTAATTCTGGAAATGTTTGGTGACACAGACACGAATTCTTTTGATTTGAGGCGACAAAATAGTCTGGTAGAAAACCAACTGAGAACCTGTTATCCAATGAATGTATATCGGTGGAAATCAAGATGGATAGGATAGACACTGAGGAGAACTGTGAGTGACATCTGGCTCTGAGTCTTCAAGTGGGACCTAAATGGGAAATGGAGATTCAGGCATTTGAAGATGACGTGGAGGTGGTCGTGAGAGTAGGAGATGAAAGCCTACGAGCGATCATGGAGTCTGCTATAGAGGACCTCACCGAACAGAATGAAACGGAGAGGTGCTGCTGGAGTTGTATATACAGTTAGTTTAAGCCAGTCACGTAGGAAGGTGTAGACTTCCTGGTTGGTGTCCTTGGGACGGTAAACACCAATGAAGGCTGGAGACAATCGGTGATATGGCTCAAACTCATCGTTCTCAATGGCTGGCGCAGATGCATCCACTCCTTGTGACTTATATTTCCCAATAAAAGTATATTGTCATTTATATATATATATATATATATATATATATAGGAGAAACTTCCAGACAGGTAAATATAAGAGTAAAAGAGCATAAACAATGTCTAAAGGTGGTTCCAAAGACCTCTGCAGACTTGAAGAAGCTAGAAAACAACTCAGCGATTGCACTGCATTCGATAGAAACGGGACACAAAATCGACTTTGATAAGACTAAGGTTTTACAGAAAGGTTTTGGTTCATATAAAGAAAGACTGACTGCAGAAGCCCTACATATATGGGTGAATCCCAACAGTTTGAACAGACGTGAAGGTGTGATGTTAGCTGATGCATGGCAAATCCTGACTAATAATTAAATTGGATATGTTTTCAACAACTAGTCATACTTGATCAAATTCCCGATTGTCTACGTCTTCTTATGGAGAGAATAACAAATTTATAAAATTATATTATATTTGTAAAAAATCTCAATTATTTTGTAACTATCCTGTGAAATCTTGATCACAGCTCATATGAGAATAACAAATGTTTTATGACTGTTCACCCACACACACATACACACACCATTGTATACTGCATATACACATATATTTTAACAAAAGTAGACTAATTTTGAAAGTCTGAGGTCAAATTTTGATCACAGTTCATATAAAAAATTTTTGTTTTGTTTTGTTTATTACACCTAGTGATAGCTGTTTCTTGATTCACATGATAGGACAAACAATTTAAAACAAGAGATGTACTTTTATATATAAACATACTATTTTATTTATTTATTATACATGTTGATGCCTGTTGCATGACTCATAATTCAACAAAGTTTGAAAAACAAGAGTTGTTCCTTCAATATATAAACCTTTGTTATGTTAATTTCGATTAATTTCCCTGAAGAAGTTCGGACCAGATTGCCGAACGAAACGTTGGAATTAATCATTTCAATTTCGCTGAGATTTTACAAATATAATTTTTTACAAATGTCTACTTCTCACTCAGCGCTCAATTATTTTGCAACTATCCGGTCAAATCTTGATCACAGTTCATATGAAAACTATATTGTTCTTTGATATTACTATTCCTTTTGTCTTATATCCCTGTCTGCTGTCTCCATTTTGTATTTCTTCTACTTTCTTCTCTTGCTTTGTGTGCTACTAGGAGGGAGTGTGGCGACTGGAACTGCTGCACATCGGTGCAGATTTCTATGTTGAAACCAGTAAGTCAGTCAGGAGTTGTATGTTTCAATCGGAACCTGAGGGAATAATAATAAAGATATAATATTCAAATGTTAGTTTGTAGAAAATTGATTTATTTTTCAAGTTTGACCACAGATTGATACTAGTAAGAGAACCACTGAAAACCGAGGAGTACCTGACAGCTGTTTCGTCCTACTTTTAGACTCATTGCTAAAAGCTCCCACTGGAGTTTGAAACCAAGGCAATCTCATTGACCATTCAGCCACTGGCACCCACCTTCTACCAGCTCGTAATTTTAGCGCGACCACTAGTCCTGGAAATTATTCCTATTTTCACTAGTAACTGGCTACAAAATGAAGTTTCCTGGAGTTCTAGTAAGAAGTCATGACAAGTGAGGTTCATCCATCCGAGTGTAAAGACAAATACTAGCTAAAAACACGAAATCGTAGAAGCAGGAATTCACGGGCCAAAGAGTAAGGTCTACGAGCCTCCCCTGTAACCGGAGGGTCCTAGGTTCGAAACTCACTGGCTGCATACTGCCCATGAGTTCCAGACTAGGACAAAGTAGCAGCCTAGTACTCCCTCCGGGTTTTCAGTGGTTCTCTAACTGAAATCAGCACATCGTCAGACTTAAAAAATAATATAATAACCTACAAAATACCTACACAGAATGCTCAGAGAGTTAACTGATACTGTGTCACACTGATTTAGGCTCTTAGCTTTCGATCAATGGTTCATTAGCTGTCACACAATATATGCGGTTCATTTCTATCTGCATGGTTGGCTCTCACGAGGTGTGCAACATAGATGGCACTGAAATAGAAGCCAAATCGGAAATCAAATACCTAGGCGTCATTCTATCTGCTGATCTCTCCTGGTCGTCTCATATCTTGGCGATTTCTAAGAAAATATTCCGTCTTACCTTCTACATCAAGAAGTTAAAACATTCTGGTATTACCCAACCCTTACTCCCACAATTCGTTAACTCTCGCATTCTGCCTATTATTCTCTATTGTTCCCCCTTAGTTTTTCCCGGGCTACTGAAGAAAGACTATAACATATTACGCAGGATGTTAAAGGTTGTCAGAAGGGTAAGCAACGTGCCACTTAACCAGCTTTTTAATATCCTGGTCGACAGTCACATGGACTCATGTGAAAAATGGGCCAAATCCATTTTATCTAACTCACATCACCCTCTTCACTCACAACTCTCCCCTTGCATCTCATCAGGCAAAACCAGAAGCCTATATAGAAAACTATATGCTCGCACTAGCAAGTACAAAAACTCAACCATACCCTACTTAGCTCGTGTTCTGTGTGATAAAGAAAGCATTAGGCGTGACACCTATAATTCATTAAATAGTCAGTAGAACAACTGGACCTCGTCTTTCCTACTCATATCATTTATAGGTACAACATATTCTTCTTTCTTTTCATTTTCTCTCTCTTTTTTTCCGTTATGTGCTGCTTTGTTTCTTTCTCCCGCTTACGCCAGTAAATATGATAGCACCTACTTTTCTAACACCTTCAAACACTGTTCAATTTTGGCTTTGCTACCGACATGTAAAAATGTTGTCAATATGAACTGAGATTTCCTTAATCTATGTAGAATTCTATTTATTGATAATGTACTAACTGGATGCAATACTGTAGTAAAAATGCTGAGAATTCCATTCTGTATCACAAGTACTATTTTGGAATAAAGCAAATTATTATTATAATTCTTTACCAAATTAGCCCATTTCTAATATACTACACCGAATCTAATAACCAAATGAAATTTGATCGTTTCACACCAATTTGTTGAAATCAGGAGGCTTGAAACAGAAACAACCATATGTCAGACAAACAGACAGACAGATAGATAGATAGGTAGCTGATCCTTTTTTTGTTCTATTCAAAAATTCTTTTTCACTTATTAAAAATCTAATTTTTTTTTCCTTTAATTATTCTCTCGGTGCTAGGCAAGCCAATGTTGATAAGCAAACCATTTGGACAGGCAACTTTACACCTACATACTGCCAGCTTACTAAACAACCACAGAAATGCTGGTCATTACAATGAGATTGGAAATCTGTTACAATATGGTGTTAATATAGTTAACAAGAGAAATATGAGCTGTACATTTATATCAAGTTTACCGCCTGATATACAATGGCTGTTTCATAGAAACCAAGGCATATTTACTAATCATCATAATATATTTGATAATGATTATAGTATATTAAAACAATCAACACGTAACTATATCATGAAGAATAAATTTGGTCTATGGAGAATTGAAACATGGTTAGAATTTCAAGAAGTTGATATACTTCTATATGTTAAAAATACTTTAAATAAAGTATTAAAGCGACTGGATATTGAATTTACTGAAAAATTGACACTATACAATTGGAATTTTCAAGTATTAAAACAAATATTGGAATTTATTATAATTCTTCGAATGGAAGGCAAGTACTTATGTGAAACATCTAATTCAATGGGTATTGAACAAGGTTCAATAAATTTAACAATACAAAGTAAGTTGGGTGTTTGTTTTGTTTTTATCTATAGGTATATAACTGCAAAACATGGTATTACTAGATAGTTAGCGGCAATCGTCGGGAAGCCTTCGACCTAGGTTTCGTGCTAGTTGGCACTCATCAATCAGCAAGGCGTATCTACAACCCTGAAGGAACTCATGTCCCTTCTGAGATTCGAACACACGTCACCCAGTGAGAACTGCAATCAGAGACGTTACCTTTTGAGCTAGTTATTTGGGCTCGCGATTGACCTCCTGTAGGACTGTAGTGGGTACTCTGATTGGACACTAGTAACTTGTGTGACGTGTCTGGTCCTTTCTTTGGTGCAGACTGAATTCCTGCCGATTGCCTCCAACTATCTAATATCATCAAGTCAATGTGCACCGTGATGGCGAGCTACCTAGAATGGTGGCCTCATTGCAGACCTGACTGATAGAATTCAGTCTGCACTAAAGAAAGGACTAGACACATCACATTAGTTACTAGTGTCCAATCAAAACATGGTTGTATTTGGTAGTGGAATTGTCTATTGGCAAATTGATGTTCGGATATGGCAAGAATACATATATCTTGCATTGAAATGTTCATTTGCACATGTCCTTCATATTTCGCTCTCTTTCAGGTTTGGTATGTTGTTTCACAGAAGGATCTTTCATTTCTCTTCATCGTCATTTAAATCTTCCATCCACTATTCAATATTATTGCATAAGGCATTTCTATAGACTCCCAGTGGAACATAGGGCTTCACGCCAACACGTCTATATTTCATCATTTTCTCTGCAATTCTGTCTTGCTAGCTCCACAATTTTCCATAAGTTTTTATTTCTCCTTCACGTGATCTCGTCCATGTCAGCCCCCCCCCCGATCCTAGCCCAACTCGTCGTTCCCCATTCAGCTTACACTTGAGGACCTCCCTGACATGCAATGTCACTCAATTGTCTTCTCAGCGTGTGTCCAATCCATATCTATTTTCTTCTGAAAAAATGATGGGCACTAAGTTTATGGTTAGTCGGTTGTCAGAGTCCCTTGTTGCTGATCCTTTTCTAACCAGCCATCTGATCTTCATTGTAGAGTAAACTTCACAGTTGATAAAAGTTTGAAGCCTGGTCGAAATGGTTTTAGTGAGTCTCCAAGTCCCTCAGCCAAAGAGAAAAATGGCTTGATATTAGTGTTTGAAAATCCGAATTTTGTTCCTTATGCAGTGAACAGTAGGTTTCCACACACAAACACAGTAGACTACTTAGGGAATCTTTTTTTTATTTATTTTTATTTATTTTGATTTACAGCTTGATTCCACACCGTATTTTCAGTATAAGTGTGGAATTTTCAGCATGGATATCGGTAGCCCAAATTCAGGCCGACCATAGATATCGGGTGTGCGCCGGCAGGGGATCGAACCCCGGACCATGTGCATGGTCGGCGAGAGTCCTAACCACTGTGCCACCGACGCATTTTTCAGTAGTGCCTAACACAGACATATTTCTGGAGATATTTTTATGCTTCTCAAGAAGATTATTCAACCCATTTTGGGGGTTTAAATAACCAAGATGTTTCTCAAGTGGACATTAATTATGTTTGCTATGACTAAAAATGAGGAAACTAATTAATTCGTTCTACTGCATAGCTTGCCAAATTTTCATGGAGTAACACACAACTCTCAGCATCAAAAATAAGATCCGGATTTTCAACTCCAATGTGAAGTCAATGCTACTATATGGATCAGAGACTTGGCGCCAAGTCATGAAGAGCATCTCAAACAAACTACAGACCTTCATTAACAGTTGTCTTCACTCAATACTCAAGATCAGATGACTGGTCAGAAAAGATCAGCAACAGAGATCTCTGGGAGCGAACCAACCCAGCAGGAACCGATTGTGAAACAAATATGCAGAAGGAAATGGAGATGGATTGGCCATACTCTGAGGAAACCATCAAGTGACATCCCTAGACAAGCCATTGCTCGAGTGGAACCCGAAAGGGAAGCGGCGACTTGGTCGTCAGTGCAAGGGTGACTTGGAGGAGGTCACGTGAAGACGAGATGAAAACGTGTGGGCAGACATGGAGCCAGATGAAGACTGTAGCAGAGAACCGAACACACTGGAGACGCACGGCTGAAGCCCTATGTTCCTCTAGGAATTAAAGGATACAATAATAATAACACACAGTCCAAAATTACATTTGAACAATACTAGGAAATGTTTCCTATTGATGGAATCTGTGGTAATGTGGTGAGAGATGGTTGCTAGCAAAATTGGTTGACAGTAATTGAGGTCAGTGTTTATATATCAAATATTAGTCATGTTGTGGTGAGAGATGGTTGCTAGCCACATTGGTTGACAGTAATTGAGGTCAATGTTGGTCATGTGAAAACAAGGTCAAGATGGACAGGCGGATGCAGTTAACATATACATGGATTGACACAGCCACAAGAGATGCAAGGTTAACTTTGTGTGAGAAACAACCAATCAACAGACTGTATTTTCTACTAACATTAACCTACAATAATGTACATCAAAATTTATAAATATTTGTTGATTGTCCGTAATAAACGTTCTGTTGCCTGGCCCTTGTCTTCTGTTGTTACAGTAATATTCATTTATAACAACTTATATCAAAAATACAGAACAATCTTTAAAATGCTGTCCGTCAAATAAACGATTCAAACGTTTCTCAGGTTCAAAATGTGTACTGTAGAACAAAATGAATTGACCAAACACAATTTTAAATTACCCGAGAATCATTAAGAATATTTCCAACAATGTGGAGTCGAAACCATGTCCACAAGAATTAAACAGAATAAAACACATTTACCGCAGACTCTCCATGGTTGAGCAGGCACTTCATGGCTTGATCTTGACTGCATTAATACAAAATCGTAACAGTAAAACACTATTGTCAACACCATCACACAAGAGCAAAGTAAAGCAGTAAAAATAGGGATCAATCAAAAACAAAGACAAATAATAAGTTTATAATTTCCAAAACTTCATACATTTGGTTCCCTTGATATATTTTGATAAAGCTGATGAGAACCTGTGAAATAGAATGATGATATCACTTTATACTGCAAATTTCGTCTTCCTTTCTTTATCGAAATAAGCGTTAAGTCCAAAGAATATATGCAGATGTTAAAATGATGAAATACACGTCAGCAGAAAAGGTTACTATTTAGAAAATTAGTTGGAATATTCAAATAAGCATCAGTCATGTAAATGGGTGCGTCGGTGGCACAGAGGTACATTGCTTGCCAACCACGTATGTGGTCCGGAATTCGATCCCCGGCCGACGCACTCCGACACCTCGCAAAGCCAGTAATAAGAGTGATAAAGAAGGAAGGTTGAGCATGAGGCTAGCAACCCCATCCCGTAAAAATAACCATCACTGCTACGTCAAGCCTCTAGCTTGGAGCCCTATGTTCCGCTGGGAACGTAAAGGAATAAAAAAAATTTAAATGTACTATTCGTGGAAGGATTCGTAGATCAATTGTTCTGCTGCAGTATTATCAGTGCAGACATTTATCATACTACTTTTATATGCACTAAATGAAGCAGCCATGACGATAACAGTTTGAATTGAAACCCAAACAGGTTTCATTTTATTCAGTACCCCACTACCATTATTAAACTAACTAAATAAATTTATTTTTAATTCAATTTTGATTTTCCCGTCAGTTGATTGAACCAAAATGTTCAGACTCTAGTGGTATGTCGGCTCCTGGGCTGGGCAGGTACATCCGGCTGACGAGTCCCAAATAGCATGAAATGCTCATCCTGGATTCTACCACCAGTCACCATCTACCAAATAACTGAATAAATGTTTATCTATGGTTAATCTAGTCGCAAAAGAAACTTGACACTCGATATCTAGGCAACTGGGAATCATTAACCAATTGTATCTACAATCTGTAAACAAACAATAGTCCTAAGTTAGTTGTCATCCTTCCATGTCAGTATCAGGAAATCATTTCAGTCTCGTCACATTGTAACAGAGAAGATTTGTAGCTCAGGTGGATAATTTGCAATAAGTTGTGTTCTCATCACATTGTCTCCAACTATTAAGCAGCCCTGGAGATGATTAGATCATTTTTCAAAATTCTATTTGGAATGACACCGGCTAGGGGAGGACTATCAACACAACTTCATTTCTCCAGCTACAAGTATGTGTTTTTATTTTAAAAAGACTTTACCACTTATTGTTTCAGACATTACATAGTGCTATCTATAAGTACACCTTTTAATCAGTTCTCTTTTATAGCTCTGAAACTAGGCAGACGCGTAGCCGAAAGCATTTCCAGCAGACTGCTGCAGACTCTGCCTTCTCTCCATACTGAATACGAGATAGCCATCCAGAAAGGACAAATAACAACGAACTGCAGGAATTAACCAACTAGGAACTTATTGTCCAACAAATATATCGAAGAAAATGTGGATGGATTAGACGTACGCCGGGCTGAGAAAACTGTTGAATGATACTGCGCGCCAGCCACTTAAGTAGAACCGGAGTGGGAAACGACGAGTTGTGCATGGGTACGAGGGTGACATGGAGGCGATCGTGTGAAAGGGGAGATGAGAGCTTGTGGGCAATGGTGGAATTAGCCAAAGAGAATTACGGGAAATAGGATGAAACGGATATGTTGTGTCAAAGCTCTAAGTTCCACTCAGAACTCAAAGGGATAATAAATATTGTGGTGTGTGCTACTGAAAAATTTATCAATAGTATATCAAGAGACGTTCATCAGCATAAAAATATCAGATAGCAGGGAGATAGATTTGACGTCAGAGAAAGCAAATACTTCAGCGTTGCGGAGAAACATGTGAGAAGTGAAAGGAACACGAAGAAACACAATATGAGGGCCAGAAGTAGCACAACACGAAAGATCTGTGCAAATGGTGACTTGAAGATAAGGTGTACATAATTTCGGTATATAGCTATATCAAATTCCTAATAGATATTCTTTACCAAGTCCCTATATCTTCTGACGTTACAGTATGCCTTATAATTAGAAATGCATAACTGATTACGTAATAATACACTATTAATGATGTGAAATCTATTCGGTTTTATTACTTTAGCACCACCAAGACCATTTATCAGCTTCAATGAAATCACATCAACTTCTGCTGATTCATCAAAGACAGGCAATCAGTACACGAGTAGTTCAAAACTTTATGGTCCATTATTTTGTCAATTTTTTGGTAAACCAGCTGTACATACAATCAACTGGTGGAAATTTACTGGATCAAACTATCATGAAATAAATGATGCTGATAATAATAATAATAATTGGAAACTAATTTATACCATTGAAAATTTTAATAAAACAATAAAATTTGAAGTAAGAAAGTGTTCGCCATTTTTTGTAACATCTGGTCTCACCTTGTAGATAATTTTCAAGGATGACTCTATTGGGGCTGCATAGTCTGATTTCACTAGGCGCTCAAGAATTGAGCTGGTGAGTGTCTTGAATCACCATCTTGACACCTTTGATAACGCCAGTCTGAACCATGCAAGACAATTACTAGCTCAACTGTCGAGCGCCTGGTGAACTCAGACTATACAACTCTACCATAGTCATCCTTAAAAATTATTATTTTATCTTGAATTTGTAAGCTTAACAAGGGCATGGTATACGCGTACTGATGATTCCTACAATGAGATTAGAATATAATTTATGCTCGTAGAAAAAATATATAGCTAGAGGTTATATATACTCGCTCTCTTGGTTGGCATTTATGGTGAAAAGCAGACCAAATATTGTGACCTGAACAGTTCCAGTTTCTAAAAGAAATTGTGGTAAAGTTTCACCTCGATTTATGTGAAATCCAAGTCACTAATTAATTTACACATTACGAATTTGATATACAGTTAGGAGGTTTAATGGTTGAGCTGACAAAACGAAATTTCATCTCAGCGTAGAGTGATCCATATTTAGGAGTCATTGTTCATTTCAGCACTCATCAAACATTTATCTAGACACTTAGTGATGTTTCATATTTTTAAATGCTACAGACAGTACTATCAACATTTTACTTAACTACGAACTCACATTTCAATCGGTGTGTAGCGAATTGTGATTAGCGTTGAATATAGGAGAAAGAAGGCCACTATTCATATCCCTTCATTTTGTGACATAAATTATGCTAACCAGTTCAAAAACTTAAAAATTTCCCTTTATAGAAAACGATATGTTAAGATGCATAGCGTCACAGAAACTGGATAGAATTATTCCAAGTGCATGCCAGTTTATACTACTTATAAACTTATATGAGTAGTTGCAAACCACTCATTTACCAGCCAGACGCATGGTAGTTCCGCTCATTAACGGTGAACTTGGTTTAACTGAAGTTGGACAGCCAAATCAGTTAAAAGCAAACGATTTCTGACTATCTGCTTGGACGAAATGGCAATATACACTGAATCGCAGTTCAAGGTGAAATTTCACCACAGTTTCCCCTGGAAACCGAATTTATTTAGATCACAATTTAAGATCTGCTTAATACCCCAAATGGTAATCAAAACAGTAAACATAATTACACCATACTACATACTACTAGCTGACTGATATGAGTAGTTGGATCGAAGTGAACTGTTTAAATTATGAACTAATTTGCAAATTGAGAATTTGATTCAAGATGTCATTAGCTTGCGCAAGCAGCTATCCAGAAATGAGGTGGTTTGAACTGATTGGCTCTCTGAGCAAATTCAAACCGGGCACAGTTTTGATGAGCTCGACCACAAAAGGAGCAAAACGTCCTCTTGGTGTTTAGATTACTTCAATCTGGCTAGAAAGTGCCACTGGTTGATGTGAATGGTATACAGCTATGGATCTCAATCAATCAAGGTGTATTTTTTTTTATTGGACACTAGTCAGTAACCAGTGTAGACTGATTTCAATCAGTCAAGTTTGCAATGTGGCCACAATGCTTGTTGGCTCGCTTGTTTATTTACACTTGATTTCGTGGTCACCATTTATAAAATCAGGCAGAACATATACTGAGCACTAAACGATTTTTATTTCCAAAAGAAACTGCAGTGATGTGTCATTTCGAAATGAGTAATTTGTAAAACGTGAATTTAATTTGCACATTAAGAATTACTAAGTACAATTTTTCCTAGATGCTTTGACCTACTTAAATATTTTTAAGTAGACAAACAAAATTCAACAATTATTTTTATGATTTTCATTTTCTTTTCAAGGAAGTGAATAATTATCTGATTGTCACCGGAAAGCCAGCATTCATTATTCCATCAACTTACGATTTCACCTCAAGCGGGAAACAGACGGACTATAACAATTTCTACTATAGTTTAGAGAAAACAAATTACAAATTTACTATGTTCACAATGCTATGGTTAAAAGAAGTAAATTCTGAAGACTATGGATATTACAAGTGTGAATCAGTTAGCGAAGTTGGGCGGGTTTCTGAAATTCGTCTACTCAAAGAACCAAGTAAGTACATTATCTCAGTTCTGAAGTATATACACACTTGTATGTATAATCATGTGATATTATGTTACGTTCCTTAAAAAGTAAATAAATAAATATTAAAACTTTGTGTGAATTTTGTTATTATTTCCTCTACGTTACCAGTGGAACATAAGGCTTCAAGCTAGAGAATTGAAGTTTCTGTAGCAGTGGTGATTATTTTTACAGGATGGGGTTGCTAGCCTCATGCCCAACCTTCCCTCTTTACAAGTCTTATTACTGGCTTATCGAGGTAAAGGAGTGCGTCGGCCGGGAGTTGAACCCTGGACCAACTGCGTGGTCGGCGAGCATTCTACCAGCGTACCGCCGACACATTTTGTGTGAATAGCTAAAAGGAAGTACTATAACCTACCAATTGGTCGAGATGAGGAAGTGTATACTACTCACATCAGCCAGAAGTCCTCGCTAGCTGGATAAAAGTGATGTTAAAAATGGATTGTTCTGCCTCGACCTCAACAGGAATGTTCCCACTTGGAATCGACTCAGAGTGCCATATCAGTTCAAACAACCTGATTAATCTTCAAAATTATGAACTCATTTGCAATTCGTGAACTTGATTTACGATCTCGCCAGTTCCCTCAAGTAGCTAGCTAGATATCCAATGGTGCACCAATGATGACAACGGGCGAAACAGCCATCCGGTGTTAAGATCACTTCAGTCTGGCTTGTAAGCATTACATGTTGATGTGAGTGGTACACAACTACTCACCTAATCACTTAGTAGTACATGGTGTTATGCATTTCTGCTTGGCTTCTTAATTACTACTCAAGGTGTCAAACAGAGGACACATTTTGATCTGAATAACCTCGGTCTTTAAAGGAAACTGTGTTGAAATAATCACCTTCAACTGAATTAAATTGTGAATTAATTTGAAAAATTGCCAACTTATTTTCAAACTGTGAATTTGAACTCAAGGAAAACCTTAAAATGCATAGTTCCATTGAATTTTTTGGAAAAAGGAGTGACTTCAAGTGTTAGTAGGAATCACAGGCGAATATTTATATATATTGAGTTGAAATAAGATGAAGAATCTGAGGCTTCAGTTTTACTTTTCGACCTTTCTTTCATTCCTTACACTCGTGGTGCAACATAGGAATTCAAGTTTCTGAAGTTTCAGTAGCCAAGAAATTGTTTTTACGTAGTCTGATTCCGCTAGCCTCACGCCTAACCTTCCTTCTTATCCGGACTTACTATCATCTAGAAAACCAGGTAAGACTATAAACATTGCAGCCGGACCTTCTACGTGGTTGGCAAGCATTCTAACATGTCAGCATCGATCTATGCAGGCCAATAATAAGAAATTCATATCTTTGTGTTAAGTGCATAAAATACACCACAAACTGGAACGAACACATTTGACAGAGAGAAGCGTTTCCCGCTCGTAAGATTTGGATATGATAGAGAAGATTTGTAGCTCAGGTGGATGATTTTGATGTGGTTGTGTTCTCTGAGCTGGATATCTATCATGTCTCTATCATATCTAAATCTTACGAGCGGGAAACGCTTCTCTCTGTTCGAAAGTGGGAAGACTTCGCCAAAAGGCAAGGATCCACCAGAGAACAATTATTCTTTCTCCACGAATGCCTTTGTCATCAAATCCTACCAACCAGTGTAAGATACAAACCACCAGTCAACTGCCCAGTGGGATGGGAATTGGCCGAACAATGTGGAAGGCGAATGGTCAAATTAATGATTACAGATGCACATTATCGGATCAAGAAATATCAACAAATAATAGATGTCTAAAAAGAAAAACTACAGAAAACCCTCAACCAGGAACACCTGTCAACGCTGATCACCGCAATTACATTGTCAAGTAGAAAACACAGAGAACAAAGACGAAAAGTCCTCAAAACCAAGCTAGCCAAGATTAGAAAACAACAACCAGACAATACACCTATAGACTGGGTAGTCAACCTATCTAAACAACCACTATCAAAAATGGAACAACAACTACTACAAAAAGGATTAAACTACAACACCGGAGATGCCTCGAAAACTGATTTCTTCGCTGCCCTTGAATCATTACTCAAATCATCAAACTTAAAGGAGGAAACACAGGAAGAGATACGCCAAACAATTGTACCAATGGTCAAACAGAAAAAACAACACACACAACTCAACTCTCAAGAACTAAAGGCCCTCAAAAAGCTGAAAAACAGGAAGGACATCGTCATTCTACCAGCCGACAAAGGAAGAACAAAAGTAATCATGGACAGAGAAGAATACACCAAGAAAGCTGAAGAACTACTCAAAGACGAAGATGTGTATCAACAACTCCCAACAAATCCCATACAAACACTGGACAACCGCATCCAAAGGACCTTAAACAAGCTTACCAAAACTGGACAAATCACAAAACAAGACCAATGGCGAATGAAATCCAGTGGACCAGTCCTACCCCGATTCTACGGTAGACCCAAAATACACAAGCCAAATATCCCGTTACGACCAATTGTATCACTACCAGGAACTCCAACATACAATTTATCCAAAGAATTATACAGAAAACTAAAACACCTAACGGAATCTTGTGATCACTCCATCAACTCCGCTATCCAATTCCTAGAGAAAATCAGAGGCATCCAAATAGATGAACAAGAGATAATGATATCCTTCGACGTCACAGCATTGTATACCTCAATCGGACAAAAACTAGCAAAAGAAACCATGGAGCAATTACTTAGCAACGACGAACACCTTCCACAAAAATCAAAAATGCAACACACAAGTTGGATGGAATGCATAAACCTATGTCTAACAACGTACTTCCAATTCAACGGCCAAATATATGAACAAGTCAAAGGAACACCTATGGGATCGCCAATATCAGGTTTGATTGCAGAAGCAGTGATGCAAAGGCTCGAGAACATAATTCTACCAAAGATCAAACCCAAGATTTGGATAGGCTACGTAGACGACACATTTGTAATTATCAAAAGAAACGAGTTAGAAAAAGCCCACAACCTGATAAACAACGTCTTCAACGACATCAAATTCACAAGAGAAGAGAAATCAGAAAACCAAATCCCATTTTTGGATGTCTTAGTCAAGCGAACAACAACAGGGGAATTAGAAACTCAAGTCTATAGAAAATCAACTCACACAGACCAAATCCTGAATTACAACAGCAACAATCCAATAGTACACAAGAGGAATTGCATACAAACACTATTCAAGAGAGCCAGGACTCATTGCAGCACTCCCACCTCAAGGAAGATTGAAGAAAAATATCTCATGGACGTCTCCCAAAAGAATGGATATCCACGGAATTTCATCAAAAGACATATACCCCCAAGCCAACCTATCAAACCAAAAGCCCCCAAGGAAAGCACAAAGAAAACTGCCCTACCATATATACAGGACATCTCAGAAATCACTACAAGACTCTTCAAACCTTTAGGAATTGACGTCGTACACAAACCAACAAAGTCACTTCACTCAATTCTATGTCAACCAAAAGACTCAACAGCGAAGGAAGATAAAACCAACATCATCTACAAAATAGATTGTATCAACTGCGAAAAACACTACATTGGCCAAAGTGGACGTCCCCTCCGTCTTCGTATCCACGATCATAAGCTAGCTGTCAAAAGACATGATATTCACTCCCTCAAATCACTACATACAGACAACCAAGGACATCAATTCGACTGGGACAACGTTCAAATATTAGACAGAGGAAACAACAAGAACGCTAGAGAATTTTTAGAAGCTTGGCATTCCAGTGAATCATCAATCAATAGACACATCGAGATAGACAAAATGTATCAACCGATAAGAAAGAAACGTCACACACAAAGGGTCAAAGTTCAAGTCAAAGAAACAATGAGTGACAATACAAGTAACCTAGAAGGTGTGAATACACACAAAAACAACCAATCACGTCCAAGGTCGCCAGGAGAGATGATTAATAAACTCGTGGAGAAATCTAAAAGCTCACTTCAAATTGAAGTATGAGCTGAAGATGTCACCCAGTAGGGTGATGAAAGCTTCGCAAATTAACTATCCAGCTCAGAGAACGCAACCACATCAAAATCATCCACCTGAGCTACAAATCTTCTCTATCATCTCTAAGCTACAACTTACCAACAATTTTTAGATGTGAAACCGCATAGTCCACTAGAAAGAAAAGCAAATAAGTCATTCTTATTTTGGTTCACATATTTAGTATGCAGACGGAGTGGAGTCAATTTGGAAATCATCACTTTATTAAACCAGCCAGGTCAGACAACATGATCTTAACCACAGCGAGAGAAGAAGGAAGACAGACAATGAATAAAAGTCTATGAATTAATTTTCATATCATGTAAATTCAGTATGGTTCTCATTTATACACATGCACATGCACTGAGTCATCTTCAGTTAACTTCAAATCGAAATAACTGACTCATACAAGTTCAAGGACAGCTCAGATTGGTTGACGTTTTGAAGAAAAATCGTAAGCAGCTGAGGCAGAGAGAAAGACACGGTGGAATGGATACAGGATAGCTTCAAAAGACAGAATAATCCTCTTACTAATGTGAGCATATGAGCAATGTTTTAATGAAAAAGTATACTGCAGATACAACTTCCTATCAGAGTCTAAACAGTACATTTCAGTTCAATCTCTCTATTTTTTGGTAGTATTTTGAGGATTACTGAACGAGTTGTATTTCTACTGTACGAAAATGCATTTTACCTTAAATTTATTGCTTAACAATCATAGTAAACTATCAGTATTCATACAAATAATGCAACTTGTGTAATAAATTAGTCCTTTCTCTCTAAAATGGTATGCTGAGTACAAGTGTTGATTGGTAAATAACCATGATGAAAATTATCCATAGAAGTTCAAATATATCTCTTTGAATTTGTTAATGAACTAGTTTGTAGCTATAGACAGAATAACCTCCAGTCCAGTTTGTAATTCTCCATTACTTTTGAACTTTATGTGTCAGGTGGATATTTTTTTCCATGAGAATATTGACGTTCTATTTCCAATATTTAATATACTACTTTACGAATGAATTATGCTATACTAATGAGGACACTTGTACACGGAATCAAACAATCACAGCAGTAATTTCTCATTTTTATAATAACCCAAATCCAGATAGTCTGTCAAATGGATCGTATATAAATCCTCAGTGTAGTTAGTTTTTATATCCCTCAAAGACATACGCACGCAAAGAGGATCAATAAGAGTAGACTCAGCCATCATCGCCTGACAGTGTGTGACATACTTTGATTAGTCACTAGGTAGTTACCAATGTCATACCTCTAGTCCTCGGTGTGGGTGCAGAATGAAGTTTGCCAGTCACGTTTGCAGTGTGTTAACAAAGCTAGGTGTCAACAAGTATGGAAACTAGGTCAGACACAGCTTCCTACCAATCGCCTTCAATCATCTAACATCAATTCGGAGTGCTTGACATGCTGCTCAAGTCATCCGAATGACAAAAGATAATAAGTCAACTAGCATTTAGACACATCTACTCTAATGTATTTTGATAAAGAAGAATACAGACAGTCATCAAACAAATAGGAATAAGCCATAGAATTAAAATAATCAGTTAACTTATGGAATGGGCTTAAAACTTGCGCAACTCTAAACAATAGGAACCCAAAACGAAACGACCTACAAACGCACAAATGACCTCGTCAAGGACTAATCAGAAGGCTAAAAAAAAACGACGATAGTTTTCCCAGGCAGCACTAAGCGCTAGATAATAGGCAATAATACACATGCCCTGCTCTTAGGGGTCGCCTCAATATGTCCTTTCTGGAGGCTGGTGTCATATATCCCCAAAAACCTATTGCTGGAAAAAACAGTCACCTGATCGGTTGCTTAAGGTCATTTGTGCGTTTGTAGGTCGTTTCGTTTTGGGTTCCTATTGTTTAGAGTTGCCGTGTATGAATGTAAGAATACATACAAATCTGTACATTTAATACACGCTAAATTTAAAAATACTTAAAAATTAAAACTCTATGGAAAAATATTCAAAACTCCGTTGTATCTGACTGACTGACTGACTGGTTTCAACAGAGAACTTTGTACAGAAGTGTAGCAGTTCGAGCCGCCATACTGCATATAGCACACAAATGAAGATAAAAGAGAGAAAAAGAGGTATTCGAAACGATGACAATAACTATAAATTTGATGGCGAGAATGATCTTGAGCCAGATCACCAGTCATCTCTAGCCTTTGGTTCTTAGAATCCCCCAAGACTCCAGTCAGACAATCTATACCTCCCTACGTGACTCAAACTAACTGTCAAAGATTTCATGGACTGATTGCATGTTTTAGTTTGACGACCTCCGCCCCTTACTCTTTTCCAAACTCATCCTATGCCAGCTGACATTGTCTGCCGAGGAAGGCGATGACTAGAAAGGTATGAGTAACACATGTCCTAGCCATCTCAATCGATGTAGCCTCACAATCTCATCGATTGACTTACTCTCCTTATCTAACACTGGATGCCTAATCTCAGTATTAATCACCCTTTTATACTGAATAACACGAGAGACAGAAAACAGACACCTTGTAGTGACCCGTTTTATTACTCATCATCGCAGTATACTTTCACTATGTAATTGTACTTTGATTTGTTTATTACTCTAAATCTTGCATGTTAACAATTGATACTTTTGTACTCGCTCGATTTTTTAATTGTTGATTGCTGCAACAATACACTATCGTATTCCTTCGCAAGTGCCTTTTGAATTACGTTGCGGATGTCGAGTAATCGCAACGTTAGGGCACAATCATAAACGCGAGGAAGTACTAAGATGTACGTGTATTCTAGTTCAGTCAAAATATAGCAGCAACAACCTATGATCAAAGACAGCTAGCCATTTCATGTTTCCACTTTCAATGGCAATGTCTCACAGCCATAAAAAAGGATGGCTGTAAAAGGTGGGCATAGTTTGAAAAATTCACGAATAGATAAAAGCGAAGAAGACGGCTCTAAAGGAGATAGATTGTTTCTTTTAGGTGAACTTATTTATTAGATGAAACACTTTCTTGTCAGAGGTGGAAATATGTGATGGAAAGGAGAACAGTATGACAAAAATACGTAAAACCACATAATAAACGGGGTCACCTATCATATACAACTCTTCATGGCGTTCATAGCAAAGACTAGACACATCACACTTAATACTATTGAATACGGAGTCACTTTAGGTTTCCGCTCCACTATTCATTGTTATTATTAGTAGTATTCACTTGGATTTCAAGTGGAATATGATGCCTCAACAGCACATATCCGTTTCATCCTGTTCTCTTCAGTTCGCTTTTTAGTTGACATAGGATCAGGTTGGAAAAGAGTTAGTGGTGGTCAAACCAAAACATGGCATCAGTCAATGAAACCCATAACAGTTAGTTTAAGACACGTAGGAAGGTGTGGACTTTCTGGTTGGGGTTCTCAGGAAGGTAAAAGCTAATGGCTGGAGACAATCGGTGATATGACTCAAACTCATCGTTCTCAGTACTTTGTCAACTCCAGTGTAACTCTATCGTTCTTCCATATTACTACTCTTTTTCATCACAGTTATGTTTGTTATCTCTGCTTGCTCTCCTCTCTTGCTTTGTGTGTCAACTCGAACTGCTACACTTCTGTTGAAAATTCTATGTTGAAAACAGTCAGTTAGTCCTCTTTGGCTGGCCCAATGATTTCCCACAAGCTGTCATTTCCTTCTAACACGATCTCTTCCATATCACTCTCAGACCAACGCCCAACTCGTCGTTTCCCATTCAGGTTCCAGTCTAAAGCCTGATATGTGATGTTTCTCAACAGTCTCCTCATCTTAGAGTATGTCTTTTTTTATTCTTCATTCACTCTCCCAGTGGAACACAGGGCTTCAAGCTAGTGGCTTGAAGATTCTGTAGATTCTGTGTTTATTTTACAGGATGGGGTAGCTAACCTCATGCCCATCCTTCCCTCTTTACCAATCTTACTACTGGCTTAGCGAGGTAAAGGAGTGCGTCGGCCGAGGATCGAACCCCGGACCATGTACATGGTCGGCGAGCGTCCTAACCGCTATGCCACCGACGCAGAATGTGCATAGTCCATTCCAATTTTCTTCGGCATCTATGCTGTGTACTACGTTCTTGGTTGGATCGTTTCCAGAGTTTCTTGTTGTTTATCCTGACTTTACAGTAATAAACACTTACCTTGCTTTTACGATCCTGGCTTTGGCATCCTTTTCTGTTAAGCCGGTATTTGAACTGGTGATTTGATTCCCCTTCATTTACATATCCGAATGTCTTGGGTTCATATAGTGTCCTGTTATCAGAATAAAGACATTTCCGTTAGTCAGTCTCCACACAGTTTTTGTGGCAGTAAGTCAAGTTAAGAGGGAAGGTTTGGAGTAAGGTTGGCAGGTTCAAGGGTCTAGCTCTGAAGCCCTGTATTCCACTCAGAACAAAGAAGAATGAAAATAAAAGCTGTCAGCGAATGAAGCTTTCTTATTTCATCAACTTTGGTCTGTTTGAATAACTATTTATCAGTGTATTGATTTTTGTACTTCCACAGTATCTCTCTCTTTATTGTTATTCTATCGTACTTACTTTTAAGATGTACCACAAACTATTACTGAACTCTATCAAATTCAATCCACATGGACATCTGTCACTATATCCTGGGAACAGAATTATCATGATTCACAACTGGATTTACCATATCAAGATATATTGAATACATCAAATGATAATAATATCTTCACTGCTATCCGGAATTTTTTACAAATTTGGCTTGATAAAAGTCAAAGTGCACAAAAATATCTTATTGAATTAGAAGACCATGGAACAAACTCTAATTTATCTGAAACTTTCAAACCAACAAACAAATCAAGTCTCTTCCCCAACTTTGCATCAATGTACAAAAGTGGCCCTCGTCTATTATATGAAAGTAAAGCTGGAAACACTGAGAGGAAGACACTTATAACTCATTTTCTGGTAAATACTAGAGGTGAAAATCTTATTAACATCAGCGGTAAGAAAATAATTTTCGCTTATTCTTTTCGCTTACTTTTCTTATTTAAGTAGTATAGTGAAATGCATCAAATTTCATTTAAATGTTTACAAAATTAACTTGGATGTGAAGTGAACAACCTGGATGTGAATTAATTTGTATGTGAATCTTTACTATATTCAATATTTATCGTTTTAAATAACTCTCAAGGCCATTTGGATTCTTAAGGAACTCAGATATTGCATATGATCTTCTCGACTGAAGTGCGCAGTTTCTGATTTATAAAATAAGCTCCTTAAGGAAATTTTATTTAACATTCTTATACAATCTCAAAGATATACCATCTTTGACATAAATTTGTCCATTACTTTCACACTAAAAAATATATAATCATTAGTAGAATAAAAACAAAGCTGTTAATGTCAGTGAGTTTTAATCACTACACGAATGCCTACGGTTCATGTAGTATCTAATTTCCATGATCAAATATAAAACGAAACTGTTTAGTCAATACAGATATCATACAACTAATATAGTAAGACAGTTCGTAACTGTATATATTCGGTTTTATCAAAACGTCATTGTTTTTAAGGCTACAAATTCTGATGAACAAAACATAAATATCATATTAGATATACAACTCTATATGAACCTCCAAGAATGTCGTCTCCAACTAAAATGTCGTCTAAATCAACTGATTATTCAACAATTACATCTTCATTGCTATTCAGTGACTTATTAAGCAACTGAAGAAAAGGAAATTTTATCCTGAATGCAAGTTGCATTGGTAGACATAAAAATATCAAATAGCGGAGAGATAGATTTGACACCAAAGAGAGGAAATGAACCCTAAGGAAAAAGCGATGAAAAGAAGACAAAGAAACACAAAATACGAAGATCTGTGCAAATGACGACTTTCATTTAAGTTGTACACAATTTCCTTATACATATGTGTCTATCAAATTCCTAATAAACATTTCATTACAAAGTCTATTGTCTTCTACTGTAGCATTACTGCCGATCAAATCAAAGAATAAGAAGTAATATTCAATTTTGCTTTTTTTATTTCTGTCCAAGCTATCATATTCTATTCTGATTATGAGCAATAAATTGTTCTCGAAACGTCATCCAGTAATTAATACTGTATCCCAGAGTTTTAATTCAAATAAACTTATCCAATATGGAGTTATTTTCTAGGACTGTAGCCAAGTTCTACACTTACATTAAAAAAATATACAAGATTCCCTTCTGTGTATAATACAGAGTCTCATGTAAACTGCCTTGCGAAATGAAGAAACACAAAGTGTCTTTTTTAGTGTTGTTTAGCCTTCTAAATTTTGTGTAGCATTAAAATGTCCTGTCATATACGTGTAAATGAAAGTGTCTACGTCCTGAGATACTCTAACCTGATACTCTGACCAAGTTGTACTTCAGTTAGATGCATGACAAGTACTTCTATTTTTCAAGTACTGATTTGTAGGGATTTGATTGATTGGTTACAGGATTTCATCATGAGCTGACATCGGTTAGAGAACCATCGGAAAACCTGAGAGTACTGAACAGCCAACTGTTTCGTCAGCCTAGTTTGGGACTCTTCACAGTACACAACCACCACCAGGGTTCGAATACAGGACCTGCTGGTTACAATGCGAGTTCGTAGACCACTAAGCCACTGGGACCCAATCCAATGACCAGTGTATGAATCCTAACTTCTACCAATTCTGTTTTTTTACTCTTATTTTCATTTGTACATTTCATTTCTACTGTTTACATTAATAGTTTTTATTAATCAAAAGTGATATTTCTTGTGATCATGACAAGTAAAAATCGTTTCACAAGAGTTAGTTTGTGGGGATTTGATTTGATCACGACCTCATTTCAGTTAGAGAACAATTGGAAAACCAGGTTTCGTCCTAGTTTGGGACTCCTCATCAGTTCGCCCCCACCAGGATCCGATAACCTTGGCTGTTGGTTGCGATAAATCTACGAATTAATAGAAGTTGAAGTCCATGAGACATTGAATCGGTGTCCCACTGGCTGAATAGTCAACAAGATTGCCTTATAACCGGAAGGTTATGGATTCAAACTCTGACTAATGCACACTACTGAAGAGTCCTAGGCTAGGAGGAAACAGATGTCCTAGTTTCCCAACGACTCGTGATCAAACTTCAAAAGAGTTGAATGTGACCTAGCCAAATGGGAAGTAGTTCCAAACATTGCTCATGACCAAATTAGAATTTTGTCAGGTGTAAACTGCATTTCATTATAGAGTATAAGAAATTTTGAATATAAACTGACAATCATAAATATATATATATATATTTATTGTTACTATTAAATACAATACTTCAGTGGTAGTATTCAGTTCATAACAAAATAGTGTGTTAGTAGGCTTCAGAAGAAGACAGAGTAACAACTCAGTGATTATCTAGTTACAGCCAGCTAAC